GAATGACTTTGAGATTATTGTATATTATTGATTATTGGAATGAAATCGGGGTTAGGACTAATCCACCTTTAAAATGTGAACTCTAGTGTTGAACTCTAGACTTCTTTTATTATTGTGCTAAATCTGTTCGACCCATTTTCAATGTAGAACTATGGCTCGTCGTAATGCTCGCAACCGTCAACCTACTCCGTCTCCACCCCCATCTCCACCTCACCAGCAGGCTCCCAATCCGGCTGGGGCTCATCTCAAAATCGTGCTCCAGTTTCGGAGTCTAACTCCGCCAGAATTTCATGGGACTGAAGGGCCCGAGGCTGTAGCCGAGTGGATCCGACAGTTAGAGCAGAACTTTGACCTCCTGCAGTGCTCTGATGAGCAGAAGGTTATTTGTGGTCGTTATATGCTAAAGGGGAGTGCTGCCTTATGGTGGTCCGGCTATTGGAGGCTGAGGCAGGCAGAGCTTAATGTCCTGTCTTGGGATCGCATGAAGGAGGTGATCATGGAGAAGTTTTATCCTCAGGGTTATCGCATGAGGATGGAGCGCGCTTTCTGGGATCTTACTCAGGGGACTGTACCATTGAGGAGTACGAGCGGGAGTTCACCCGCATGAGCGCCTTTGCTCCACATATGGTGGACACTGATTTGAAGAAAGCCCACAAGTTCCGTGATGGTCTAGACCACACCCTCCGTATGCATGTTGCTAGCCAGGGGAATCTTTCCTTTGATGAGACCGTTATTCGAGCCACCCAGCTTGAGAGTTATCAGACTCCCAATGTCTCTGCCCCTTCCGCTCAGCTAGTTCAGCCTATTTCCTCCGCACCGCCCGGCTCTAGTTCGGGCAAGAGAAAGTTTGATTCCCGCCGGGATAACTGGAAGGGAAAGCGCGGTGGGAACGACCGTCGTGGTGAGCGCCCCTTCGTGCGAGACCAGTTTCCGAAGTGCCATAACTGTGGTCGTTATCATCCGGGAGAGTGCCGGTACACCTAGCGAGTTTTCTTCAACTGCATGAAGCCCGGTCATTTCTTCAGTGCTTGCCCCGAGCTCCCGAGGCAGCATACCCAGCAGCAGCAGCTTCTTCCTCCACCTTACCAGCAGCAGCAGCAGCAGCACAGGCAGCCCCCACCACACCAGCAGAGGGCTGGGGGTCAGGCCCGAGTCTATACCCTTGCTCATGACGAGGCAGCCAACAACGTAGGTACCATGTCTGGCATGATTTCTTTATCCAATGTGCCTATCTTTGCGTTATGTGACACTGGAGCTACTCATTCCTTTATCTCCTCTCGATGCTTGGAGGCCCTGTCTATTGATATTGTGTGCAACTGTGACCCTCTCGAGGTTAGTCTAGCCTCGGGAAGGATTATTATTTCCGATTCTATGATTTTCAGTCTTCCAGTCAGTATTGATGGGCGTGTTTTGGAGGCCGATTGCTATGTTATTGAAATGCGGGACTTCGATGTGATCTTGGGCATGGACTGCCTCACTCGCTATCGAGCCGATATCCAGTGCCAGGAGCGCGAAGTCAGTCACTTCCCCGTTTCCGGTCGGCCTGTTATTTTCTATGAGGTGAAGTCGAGGATTGTGCCTCGAGTCATCTCTTCCATGCAAGCTAAGAAGAGCCTTTCTAAGGGTAGCTGTCAAGGCTATCTGGTTTCTATGGTATCCGAGGACGATTCTGAGTGTAACACCCCGCCTTGTCGTGAAATCAGGGTGCGTAATTTTGCAATGTCCTTTAAAATAAAATCTTTTAATTTGCGAAAACTGATTTGGGGTGCTACTATAAAACATGTCTTATTCTGAAAAACTGTTAATTTAGTCTTTACTAAAAGTCTACGGTTTACTGAAAATATTAAATATCTAAAAGTCCGATCAGAAGATAAGTTCGCAAAACATCATAATCAGAGGAAACGTGGCATCATCAAAATATTTACAATCACATGAGCAAAAGTCCTGAATCGTCGTCATCTCACACCTCCGGCCCGACATCCTGCCCTGAAAAACATGATAAAAGTGGGTCGTGAGCACTAAAATACACTGTGCTCCGTGGAAACTCGTACAAAAGTAAACATCAAAAATAATTACAATAACATGATCTTGGCATGAACATGAACATGAAACTGGTACTGAATAATCATGATCTGATACTGACGGTGAGATAACATCATCACCTGCCTGATACCTGAACATCTACCAGCATAAATGTCGGACACCATGTGCACACTCTAGTGGGCAGACTAAGGCCACTAGAACCCAGAATGGACCGGTGACCATTCCGAGCGGATACTGAACTGATAATACATACCTCAAGCATGGTAGAATAATTATAATCAATATAATACCCAGTCTGAGTCCCCACCTGAACTGTCTGAATAAAATGGTAGTGCTGATATTGAATCCTGGTCAAATTGAAAATAATATAAACAATTACTAAATACTATGCTCAGCCTGATAAAATAATTATTTTTTTATGTTAAGATGCTCTACTGGACTTGACGTGATATTTGGATTTAACCGATATGACCGGAATCAGATAAATCGGAACTGAACTGACATGAAATTACTGAACTGAACTGAACCCAGAATTTAACTGAAAATGGAACTTAAAATATGAACTGGGATTAAAATAATATTATTTGGGTCAAACCGGTATCAACCGGTCTGAACGGGTCTGGCCGGACCGCTGGTCTGCTCGGACCGATCGGCCAGCGGCTGATTCGACCCACAGCCTTGTCGTGGCCGTGGTGCGACTGCGGGCTGGATTGGGCGCGGCACAACCGCTGCCGAGCTGGCCTTGGCCATGAGTTGGGTTCCTTGGGGCATGACCTAAAGTACCGCCGAGTGCTACTTGCATCGGCTGTCGTGCGACTGGGCACCGTTGGGTGGCACCATACACCACAACGTGCAGCTGACTGCTAAGGAACGCATATTGGCGCTGAACGGCCATGACTGGCACTGTGAGGGGCGCTGCCGTGCAACCCCTGCGATGATGGCCACTCGGGCGGCCGACTGGGCGCTGCCGAGGCCTGCGGGAGTAATACTGATCGCCTTATCTGTAATATCCCAACTTTTATCAGTATAATAATATTTTAGTTCCGATATTATATTTTCGGAATTAATTAATTTCAGTTATTTCAGTCAAAATTACCGGAACTATTTTCGACG